CATAGCATGTTATGAAGCATCCAATCATGGAATATGGCTGTGAAATTTTGTCACGGGACTACGGATATTGGATAGCATTGAAAGACCACTCAAGTTATTATGTGACAATAAATCAGCAGTTTTATATTCTAACAACAACAGAGGCTCGTCGAAGTCAAAGCATATAGACATCAAGTTTCTTGTTGTTAAAGAAAGAATTCAGAGTGGACAGTTGTCTATAGAACATATTGGTACAAACTCCATGCTTACGAATCCGCTTACTAAGGGATTGCCACCCAAGGTGTTCCATGAGCATACTGCTCGTATGGGTGTTATGTTTATTGAGGATATTCAGTCTTAGTGGGAGTTTGTAATTTAAATGTTCTTAATATAGACATTTTCAGTTATTTCAGTATATCGATTTTTGAGGTTATTTTCTGCAGAAATATCAGGATTTATTCACACTCTGATTTTGGTAAAGTCTGATCTCACTAAGGTTTAAGGTGGACCAGTTGGAAATAGGCATGTTAATATCACATTTCATGAAATTTCCATGCTACACATCCACATCATAATCCATGTTATTCAGTTGTATCAATTTTGTGACCATTGATGGGTTGAGTTACGATAGACGTGACAAAAGCCGCTTTGATCCTATATTGATATAATTGATGGACCGGATTGGTTAGAGATACATTTCGGTAATGACAGTAAAGTTGAGCTCAAACAGTTGTTATTGCAAAGCATAATTATAAGGATACACATATAATCCAAGTGGGAGATTGTTGGATCCTTAATCCAACGTTGGGTTATATGTGAAATAATAATGCAATGCATACTGTCATATAAAGTTAAGCCCTTTAAAAGTGATAAATTAAGTTAAGGTAATTTAGGGCTTTAATGTATCAAATAGGGTGTGGCCCTTTAATGTGTAGAGACTAAAAGGGGAAATTACAATTTTATGATGGGCAAAATTGTAATTTCTAAAGGGTAACATTAGGGTTACCTTATAAGAGCGGTTATGGTCCCCAGAACGTACGTAAGTTACTGATTCCTCTTCATCCCATCGAAAGAGAGAAACACAAAGAGAATTCAAAGGGAACTCTCAGACAAAACGTATTGTTCTGGAAGGCTACCCGCACGACACCGAACAACAGTCTACGCTATGGATTCAGGTACGCTTCCGTGTTTATGCTTTCTCAATGAATTATACATGTATGATCTTGTTTCGTTGATGGTTTTCAACCGTTCATCGGTTTTCGGAATCTAACAGCAACCTGATCCATTATACGTGGACAACTCTTTAAAATGAGTATTCCAAATAATTACAGATGAGATGGTGACATTTGAAAGTGGATATTAACTTACAAAGCACTTGAAAGATTTACGATTTCGCAACAAGACAATAATGCCATCTCAAAGGTTCTATGAAGTTTGCGCATCAATTTTGGTTAATTTGATGGAAGATAAGAAGAAAGCGAACAACGATTTGGAGGTAAATTAATAAGAAGAGCAATACTAACGAATCAAATTGACACATCAATACATATTGTGACAAGCAAGCCGAATGGTCACGTCATACAAAACCCCATACTAACACGACCGAATTAACAGAAGGACTAAATTGTGTTCATCTAAAAGAGAACGAGAACGAAATCGACCGGACAAAATCATGATGACTTTGTTGAACGAAACAGAAGGTCAAGGACTATTTTCCACATTTTCCCAAATGCTAAAAGAAATAATTGTGGTATGCAGAGCAATAGAGCTAGGTTACATGTGAGTGCCAAGATGCAGCTAGACAAAGAGAATCAATTGGTTAGATAAGTTAGAAAAGTAAATTTTATTATTTTTGCGTTTATAAAAATATCACAAATGCAGGTTTGCCCATTACTTCAATGAAGCTGTATATGTAATGACAATATTTGCCTTTTTCCTCCAAAAAAATATCTGAACTCGTGTTCTCACATCCATTTTACTCTTGCCCATACTTCACATGAAATATTTCTTTAAAAAATTTTAAACTAATTTTTAATTAATGAAAACTTACATTATACTTTTACAGTTTCAAATTTCACGAGTATTATAATAGATTCTATTGTATTTTGTATGATGGAGTTAATTTTATCATTTATTTATATGAGTTGTGATATAGATAATTATAGAATATCTCTCTCTTAGTATATTCTAGTGTGAATTTAATGTCCGAAAGTCTATTTCACTGTAGCACTAGTATATTTGCCCATGTTTCGCACGGGGGTTTGTACATAATTTTCTTATTGAAAATATATGCCTATTAAAACTTCTTATGTACTCTTGCACATTCAATTTATATGAAAATAGTATTTTTAGAGTTAGAGCAGTGACAACGATCACTTGAAAATAATATAAAATCCATTTGGAAGTAAATTGAATATTATGGGTACAATGCTTAACATATAAATTCAGTCCACACATACCAAGCATCTTTATTGTCATAGTTTACAAAAATTGAATATATCAAGAGCTATTTATATTTAATTGAACTCAGTCATTTGGTAATTTCTTTATAAGTAATTGTTATCCTTTAAGTAACATTAACTCTATTATTGTATTTTACTACATGTTGTATTGGATGGAATGGAAGTAATTTAACTCTATATGGTGTATTATATTGTAAGCGACAAAATCAATTTGCTCTCCTTAAAATTCTATACATATATTAATAGATTTTTTTATGTAAGTATATCACATCATATACCATATATATTTGATAGAGTCAATTTTACATGAAATATTAAACATAATTACTTATTTGAGTTAGGAAAAATGACACAAATAGTCCCTGAACTTTGGCCCAATGTGCAATTTGATCCCTGAACTTTTAATTTGTTCAATGTAGTCCCTGAACTTTAGACTAATGTTCAATTTAGTCCCTGAACTTTCAATTTGTTTATTGTCATCTTTGAACTTTTGATACATGTTCAATTCAATCCCTGAACTATATGAAAATGATCAATGTGGTTCCTGAACTTGAATTAATGGAAAAGAATGCATTGAACATTTTCATATAATTCAGGGATTGAATTGAAAATGTGCCAAAAGTTTAAGGCTGACATTAAATAAATTGAAAGTTCAAGGACCACATTGAACATTAGCCTAAAGTTCAGGGACTACATTGAACAAATTAAAAGTTCAAGGACCAAATTGCACATTGAGCAAAAGTTTAAGGATTGTTTGTGTCATTATTTCTTTGAGTTATTGTACTACTTATTGTTTATGCCACCATACATATGAAATATTGATAATTATGTTAATATCTACAAAAGATCTCATTCTCATAGGTCCTTATTAATAAGATATTCCCTCTAAACTTTCACTTTTTCTTGGAAAACTTCTTAAATTTCATTTGGAGATGAAAAGACCCATCTTCATTAGAATCCAATGCATGTAATGCAAAAGTCACCTTGAATACATTTGATATTAGATAGATCATAGATGGTCAATTTTAAAGTTCTAGGGGAGTGAATAGAGGGGGACATTCCGGAAATTTAAGTGACGATTTCGTAAATAAACTCACGACGATGGCCAATGTTAGATGTGAGTTGATATATGAAAGTCAAAACTCATTAATTAATGAATTCATTAGAAGTAGAGGGAGCAAATTAATTAGGTCACAAGATAGAATCGCAATGCTTACGAATTGGACAAAACCTAATAATTATGGTGCGTTTGTTTCGCAAAAAAGTAATGGTTTGAAAAATATTTCCTAAAAATGATCACTTGCATCGCTTACAACAGATGAATTAACGAAAAATATTTTCATTGCTCACGAATATGTTCAAACAAAAATTATTGTTGATAACGAAAATATTTTTCATTAGCTAATTATTTCAAGCGATCATTTTCAGAAAATGTATTTTTTAAATTATTTATTTTTTTTGCGAAACAAACGAAGGTATACAGAACAGAGCCATTTTCCTTGGGGATATTATGTTTCGATCTTGGTAGAATCTGTGTTCAATTATTCTGTAGAGAATTTGAGGACCATATGAAAGAAATAAAATATACTGATTAAATAATGCAAAAAATATAAAAATAAATAGAATAGAATAGAATAGGAAAAGGTCGGTCGATTCATTGGTTAAACCGTGTACCGTGTATTGGTGGGGATTCTTCCATCTCTTCTGGGACTCTGGACAGCTGGCAAAAGGGGAAGCCAGCGACGGCGAATGAAAGCCAGTGCAAGGACAACGTCACTCGTCCTTAACACGTCGCCGCCGAAAGCCCTCAAACCGTGTGTGCAAATAGTGATCGCAGTTAAATAGGTCGCTTTTGGTCCTTTCAGCCAGCCAATTAGACGCAGAGATAATGACAGAAACAGTTCTCTAACTTTAACTTAACAGATAACGTGATATCTGAATTTTTAATTTATTTAATATAATTTTTTAACTTTAGCCTATACGTAATATGATTCTTGAATTTTTAATTTGTTCACATGATCCCTAGACTTTGGTATATGTTCAATATATTTTCTGAACTATAGGATTACATTGAACATTTTCATATAGTTCATGGACTAAATTGAACATGCGCCAAAAGTTGAGAGGTGGCATCGAACAAATTAAAAGTTCAGGAACTACATTGAATAAATTAAAAGTTTAGGGATCACATTCCACATTGAGTCAAAGTTCAAGAATTTGTACCAATTGAAAGATAGACGAGGTGCGAGAGCCACTAACAGTACTTAGGTAGCCTCGGATCCCAAACTTAAATGACCTACTTTTTTATGGGTAACCAAAATCAAATAATCTTTTTTTATGCCAGAATACCAAAACCGAAATGTTTTTTTTTTAATGAGAAAGTCTCGTGTTTTTGTGCAAATGATATTTTATTTTTGGTATCGAGTGCAAATGGTTGAGATAGTGCAAAAAGCTGCCCTGGCGGAACTGTAGATTTTCTTTTTACAAGTCAAAAGCGGAACTGTAGATTCAGCGAAGTAAAATTTGGGGGCGTGAATCGAGCTGTATATAAAGAAGAAGAAGAGGGCAAGAGAAGTGCAAGCAAAGCCCATCAGGCGTTAGTCAGGCTCGAATCCTCATCGGTGCTGTCTGTCACCCTTTCCTCGCTGTATCGTTTCTCATCACCATCACCAAACCAAGACCAGACCAGACCAGACCAGACACACGCAACACTGTTCCTTCACTCCCCTGGTCACCCCTCTCTCTCTCTCTCTCTCTCTCTCTCTCTTTCTGTGTTCCAGAGAGACCACATAAAAAGTCGATAGCCTTCAGGGACCGACCCTCGCCTTCTTGCATCCTCTACCACAAAACGCATCGAGGGCCTCCCCCCCCCTTTCTCTTGCTCGCGTAGCTCTTTGACCTCCTTCGCACCCGTCGATTCAATGGAAGATCGCAAGGAGGTATCCCCCTCTCCCTCTTTCTTTGTCTGTCTGTCTGTGTTCTGGTTGTTGCTGTTCTGTTTTTGGCTGCTGCTGCTGCGAGAGCTGAGCTCTGTCCAAAACGTTCGGTTTCGTGTGTTTTCTTGAACAATCTCCTCCTTTTCTCTTCTTTCTTGCCTTTCGTTTATCTGTGTCCTCTGGGGCGAGTTATGAACATGTGGGGGGGCTTCAGAGACTTTGGAAAGCGGTTCTTTTGGGGAGAATTCACGAGACCCATTTGAGTTTTGACGATCATCTTGAACTGAAGCTCGTGATGTTACTCAGTTTCCCATGATTTTTTTGGTAATTAACTGTGACGAACTGAGGGCGTCTTGTTCCCCTTGTTGTTCCCTGTTTCTTCAATTGAATAACAAGACATGCAAGAATCTGCTGTCCGTTGGAAGCAAAGTACGGGCGAAACTGTGAATGAATTTAGGCGGAAACCATTCAATCCCAAGATCATCTTGCTCAGATTTTATTTTCTGAAGCGTAATGAAATTGGTATGATTGCTGATATTAAAGTCGTCCAGCCATTTTCCAGACAGTTACCCGTATAATCTTCCTACCGACTTGTCAAATTTGTCGCCCTCTCTCTTCTGGCATTTCCAGCTTCGACCCTTTCCACTTTCACTTTTGTTTTTTCTTCCCATCTTTTTTCCGTCAAGATCATTCCCTGTTCTTTTCCCTGTTTTCAACTCGTAATTATCATCAGTTAAAGAACCCATGTCATGATTCCAACTCCTATGATTTATACTGTTCAAAGTTTGAAACTTTGAACTGAATTAAATAAGGAAGCACCGAGAATATTTTATTTTAGGGACATGCTTCTTTTTAGGACTGGAATGATCGCATCCTCAATAATCTAAAAGAATTGCAATCTACCGTAAGATATTTGTTTGGGGTTTGTGGCGTTTGTTTCTTGAGGAGGAGGTGAATTGGTCAACTTGCGTTTTTGTCACGCCGTTGCTGAATACATCCAATCTTTTGCAATCACTTGACTTTAAGCCAAGATTTAGAGGGTAACTATATGATGTAATGTAGATACCATTGGTACGCTGACATGGTTTCATGGACCAATGAAGCGTCTGCTTTCTTAGTAGGTTCGAAAACTATAGATGCATGTGTTTGGATTGGTCTGTGATATCATGTCAGTCATGTGATTTTTGCATTGCGTATGATAGCTTCTCAGTTTGAACAGCTAGCCTCCGTAACCATAGATTATGGACTGAGCAAATGATAAGCATGTTTAATCCAAAAAAGATGCATAACTTGGTCGAGTTAGCATCACTTGCACGTGATGGCATGTGTTATCAATTTTATAGACGTTGAGACTGCGACAATTTTTTGAAAATGCTTTTTAATGTTACCAGCGATGTCAACACAGCAAGAGTTTTAGTGTAATAATTCCTTAAAGTTCGATTGTGCACTGCTTCTAAGCACTAATGACTTTCAATGAATGACAGAAGAACACTCCATGGCTATCAGTCCCGCAATTTGGGGACTGGGACCAGAAGGGGCAGGTTCCTGATTACTCGCTAGACTTCTCAAAAATAAGGGAAACGAGGAAGCAGAACAAGAGGGACGTCTCAAGAGCCAGTATCGGGAACGAAGAGGAGCTCGCTTCTGCGAAAACCGTTGCCCCGACTGCCACCCCTGGCGACGACCACCACTACCACGAAAGTGACCACTCTCCCCCGGTAAGATAGTAATCCATGAATTTCTCCTTTTTGGGGCGACATCCCAGTACAGAAATTGCATGACCATTAGTGTTGTTTTGATGCATAATTGACTTAAACATGGTAGGTTGAGGAAGCTATTGAGTAGGACCAACCACTCAATACCTTATTAGGTGGATTGCTTTTTTAACTAGTGGACACAATAGATAATAGCATCGGATCAATCAAATCACGTGAAGAATAGAGTATTTTAAGGAACATCATACTTTTTCAGGGATAAATTAATGCTCCCTTTCTAGTGAATTTGAGCTGTCCTTGTTAAGATTTTAAGTTTTTAATGTAAATCACCGGGCAAAGATTATTCCTCTTCTTAATTATTTTATCTTTTTCCTAGTTCCTTGATGTTCTGTAACCGTATAGGTACATTCTCTTTTGAAAAAGCAACCATAGTACCAAGCAAAGCGCAGAACTACTATTAATTAATGTCTGATCCGGTGGTTTGATGTGTTGTCTTAGGAATATGTATCATTGAAAAGGGGGGACAAAAAATGTGTGCATGCTGCGTTCCTCAATTATGTAGTTTCCTTGAGATGACAATTATTGTGCATGTTTTTGCAAGAAAATTCCTAAGACAACCAAAGTGGGGTGATCCACAATATCAGTGAAAAAGGGGGTCCTCTCACGATGTCGTGAAGATAATCCGCAATAAAATTTTCCACTAATTAGCATATGGGTGATGCATGCGCTTCCACATACGTGCATAAACCTCAAGAGTCATGGATGAAGATGAATTAGATAGGAAAAGGTATGCCCTAGAAAATTTATGCCAGTGCAATCTGGATAGATTTATTAGACAAGAGTATCAAACTCATCAGAGACATGTTCTTGAGGGTAACCACAAAAGGGAAAAAGATGGACGACTCGTAGCATATCTGCACTTAGGCCGAAGGCCAAGTTCAAGTGGGGCTCGAGTAAGATGCTTTTCTTGTATAATCTTTAGGGCGCCCCATGTGTTGTGGCACATTAAAAGCGAATATTTCATCGTCCTAATTCAAACTTTAGATGATGATGATGATGATTATTGCTTTAGTTTTGTGGGTCATAGATTGATCGTTTGCTCTCTTTGACAGACGAGGAGGAGCATTCTCAGCTGCTTCAACTGTTGTGTAAAGGCTTGAGATCGGTGCTTCTTGAGAAGAGCTTCTTCTGCGTCAATGATGTCGTGGGATGTGTTGGTCCCCCCCTGCACATGTGCATCGTGATTGTTTTTCGGACAGAGATGGTCTATGTACTTTTGAAATTTGATAGTGATTGTTGTTTTCGCGTAGTCTACCGGTCCCCGGTACTTTGTGGGTAAGTGAATATTAAATGTGACGAGCACGCTCGATCGACGAGGGTCATGCTTCCAAAACGAGTATTCGGTGCCTATCGGACACCGGGGGATTAGAGAACCGCATTAAAAATGTGGACTCCAAAATGTAATGTTTGGAAAGTCTATGAATCTAAGTCCATAAGATCTTTCCATCCCTTGTTCCATTTATTTTGCATATTCATATTTTAATGTTAGAGATGAAAATCTCTTCTTTTCATAACTTTGAGTTAAATAGGACTAAATGATAAATTATAATAGTTATTTACCACGTATTAAATCCATTGTACATATGGTCCTTAGTACATTTCTATCCTTACAAGTCAATTATAAGTATAAATTTAATTAGAACACCCGAACGTCGTGTCGCGCGATCAACAATATTCAGCATTTATAATATTATTAATCCTCTTGTTAGACGAAATTTTTTTATATTGTAGGTGTGCTTGATCGTTTTTCGAATTTTTAGCACTTTATAAATCTCAAATTATCTAAATACATTTTCGTGGTAAAATTAAGATCTTTTTTATCTATATGTAAATATTTGAGGACCCTTCTATGAATCGATAAAAAAATAACTTCAAAACAACCTTTATACGTAGGAATCCATCTCAAATTAAAGTTGGATGATTTATTAAAATGGTTAATTCCTAAGCCATTCATTTTTTTGTCACAATAAAACTAAAGGGTTAATTTTTCAAATGAGATCTCATTTTAACTTAAATGTGTCTCATTTGCTATAATGAATTGAGGATCTTGCATAGGATATGTTCACATGCAATCATTATTATTAAAACTTCAGAGTAGTTTATCAATAGTGTAAACTTATTTTATTTAGAAACTTGAATAGAAACCTTTTTTTTTTTGGTCGAAAAAACTGACATTTACAAATTATTAGTATCGAAATTTCTACACTTTAAGTCATGTATCCTTATAATCATGCAATTATCTAATGAAAGAAAAATAATTAATATAGCTTGAAAAATAAAGAAAAAATATAATAACAAAGAGGAAAATTACAAAAATCATCTTTAGTTTTTACTCACATATCAATTTTCATGTTGATCTTTCTCTAAATCAAAGGGAGAAATCCAATGGAGTAGCTATGTGCACCATGCACTTGAATTTACATATAGTAATGTTCATCTTTTACCACAAACAAGCCATTTATGGATGTTATCATGGGATTTAATATAAGCTAGAACGACCCTCACAAATTGCAAATACTAATTTGTTAAGAATTACTCGAGTTGAAGCTATAGTGTTATCATTTGTTGGAATCAAAATATCTGCAAGATCCAGGTCAAAATTTGTAACGACTCAACAAATTATTGGAATTCTCAAAGTGGTACATTCTCGAAGAGTCGTATGTTTTTTTTCAAGGAATTTGAATTATTTGATTTTTATTTATTGGATCTTTAATATGAACTTCTTTTCATTTTCAGCAATTCATGAAAAAGATGCTAAATTAAGGCTTCGTTCGTTTGCAGAGCCATTTTCCAGGAGAATATTTTCCAAGAAGCCATTTTCCAAGAATATGCCATAATTTTTCGATGTTCGGCTGAAATCTGAAAAAGACTTGGAAAATTTTTCCTTGTTCAGTATGGAAACTCAAATCAAATTTTGCTCCATACACTACTTTTAATAATTTTTAATTTTTTTATTTTCTTAAATCGATTTTTTAATTATCTTTTTTATTTTCTTTCTTTTTACTTTCTTCTTTGGCCGGTCGAGGCTAGTGACCGGCCACATGGAGCTCGAGCATCGCAACCAGAGAGTAGCAAGGCTTGGGCCTCGCCAGATCGGCGACACGTGAGTGCTGCCAGAGGTCAGCAAGGCTCGAGCTTCGCCAAATCAGCGATGCTCGAGTGCCACCAGAGGGCGGTGAGGCTTGAGTACTTTGGCGGCACTCGAGTGTCGCCGATCTAGCGAGCTCGAGCCTCGTCACCCTTTGGCAATGCTCGAGCTCATTGTGGCCGGTTGCCGGCCTTCGCCGTGGCTGATGACTGGCTAGAGAAGTAGGTAAAAAAAAAGAAAAAAAAAAAGAAAAAATATTATTAAAAATTAGAATTTAAAAATATAAAATAAAAATAATTAAAATGAATATTGAAAGAAGGAGGAGGGAAACTGTTTTCCATGATTAGTTTATTTTCCGTAAAATGAACGCCGGAATATTCGGAAAATATTTTTCTGGAAGTTTTATTCCATGAAACGAACGGAGCCTAAATCCTCTTTTAGGTGAAGCAAGTATGTCTGCCTTACCAATAGTGGAGAATGTTTTAGTTTATATTCCTACTAATGTAATTTCTATTTTAAAAAATCCAAAATTAGCTTCTCTCACCCACAACCTACTAACAAAAAATCTAAACTACCCACTCGGAAAAGACACTAAAAGACCCATCACTTGCCACCAACCGTTGTTTCTGTGCACCCATAGCTAGACCTGTTAAAATGGGTCAATGACCCATTTCTTAAACTACATTTGATGGTCTGAGTCATTATATGGGTTAGACATGTTCAATAAATGGATTCTAAATGAGTTTATAATAGCAAAACTTAAAAATGTATGGGTGTTAAATGGGTTCACAATTTATCCAAATCTAACTCACCTTTGTGACTCTCTCTTTACCTTCTCTAAGAAAATAATGGACTCCTTGGATTGTTCCAAGTTTAGATAAGTCTTAGTGGGCTCGCAAGGTGAAACTGATTTCACCTTTACTAAAAATATCAAGATCGCTTCTTCTTTTTACCACTGTTTTTAGTTTATTAATCTTGTAAGTTTTTTCTGTTGGTTATTAGAGTATATCTTTCCTTGGTTGCATTTGGCATTGTTATTTTTATGTAATATTCTACTCTTAATTTTTGTCATTGCAAATCAGGGTTAGCATAAAATCATGTTCTTCAATATCTTACACCCCATTTAATGAAAATTTCAATTCCCCCGTGTTATTTGTTATTGTAATTTAATAAATTCACTACCAAGTGCTAATTTTTTCTTATTCTTCGTTGTGAACTCTATGCATTGTAAAAAGCCAATTCTTTAGCATTTTATAGTCGAAATAGCGATTTTATCCAAATAATATATACACATGAAGAGTTTAAAGTGGGTTGACTACGTGGATAAGAATTTTCATAGTTTAGATTAAATATGAAATAATTTAATAATTGGGTTGAGTTGGATATGAGTCACTAAATTTAGTATTACATATAAAAGGGTTAATTTGAGTCAAACCATATTCGACCCAACCCAAATCCGATCCAACCCATTTATTCGACAGCCCTAGCCCACGAATACTGCTAATTTGTCACCTCTATCTCGCTTTTCCCACCTCTCTCTCGATACCACCCACCGGTCTGCCATCTCGCCCTCCTCAAGCCACCATCCACACTGCTGCCCATGTTATGTCACCGCTATCCACCTTAGCTATAAAAGCCCACCAGCCCATCACATCAAGATATGGGATTTTGAATGTGGTATCTCGATGCCACGAATGGCCTCGCCATGGGCTCGAGTAAGGCTCGGAATACATGGCAAAGCTCGCAATGGCCAGCAGTTTCCCATGGCCACATCCAAGGGGACACAATCTGGTCCAGATTGACGTCGTTGCACCATATCCGAGGCAACTTATGAATCCAAGGTCGGCGATCGGCGATGGTAGTGACGGCAGTTGGCTCGACGAATAGAAGGTGGTGATTAGGAGAGAGATGGTGGAGGAGAGAGGAAGCGAATTAGGATTGTTAGGTTTAGTTTTTGAAGTAAAGGTAATTTGGGTTTTTTTTTTGTATTTAAAATTAAGATTTCCTTTTCATACATTGTAAATATTTCAAAGCATTTCATATCTTAAGATCCTTTATCCACAATATCTATAAATGTTTATGACACAAATTACTAATTTTAAGACTGAATCATACAATTCGATTTGATGTTTGATTCATGATTGATAAGGTTAAGAATTTTGATCATGATACTGTCTCTACAAAAGTTGCCAGACAAAGAACAGGCCTCAAGAAGGACTTTCCAATTCAAAGAAGCTCGCAATTGGCATTAAAACACTGTAATGTTCGTACTATCGTTCAAACTATTATAGTCTAGGAAGGAACATGATATAGACTAAAAAAGTTAAATTAGAACTAAAACCCAATAACACAAGCTCAAATCAAACTGATAAGAGCGAAAGTTTGGTGGAACAAAAGATGAGAAACAAGAACTTGGATAAAATAAGCTAAATCTTATTATTGGTTGAGTATGCATCTCCTTCTTCTCTCCTAAGATGTCTTTCTATAGTCATTGTTGAAAAGATTTCATGTGATAAAATAATTTCACAAAAAATAATGAAGTTTCGATTATCAACCTATTCGGCCCTTCTCTAAGTTGCATATATAACCATAACAGTCGTGAGCTTTTGGGATCTTACTTTCCAATTCTAATACTTGCTTTCCTTGTTTCAATTGTGTTCCCTACATTTTGGGTGTGCCCCCAAATTCCAGTACCAATTTCTATTAACAAGTTTGGCATCATGCCACATGCTTTGGGTGTGCCCCCACGTTCGGTTGTGTCCCCCACATATATATAGCCCCATGTAAGCCTAACTTATCACCACGTGTCTGGCAATGATTTCCAATGCTCGATATTTTAGACATAACATTGAACCAGAAAATAACCGCTGCTGCACTTTTTATCGGTGTACTACCGATTTAACATGATGCCAAGAGCTTCTTCACGTATGTTAATGCGCTTCAACCACATGCTTGGTCATGATCTCCATCACTCATATATTTTACGATGACAGACCAAAAAACAACCGCTCCCACACTTTTCTCAAACTTTAATCTGTTTGGCATCATTTTAGCCATAACTCTATGTATGCCAACTGCTCATGCCACGTGTCGACCGACCGTTTGTGCCATGCACTAACCATGATCGTCACATCTCGAGATTCTAGGGTCATGATGGCTTA